AGGAAAGGGAAAAGCCCAAAAAGCAGAATAGAGCCTCTTTAAAATATGAAAGTGAGCTGCTTGTTTAAAGCTCAACAGAGATTGAAGATTGTTACAATATTTTTCTGATATATATATATATTCATATTCTGACGTGTTTTGTGTGGTAATAGCTGCTTAAGAACCAGACAATCCGGCACACTCATACTTACTTCATTAAGCAGAGGACATGGATTCAATGTTACTGCTCAGAGTTTATGATCCACTCCATATCAACATCTTATAGTGCTTTCTGTCAGGTATTAATAAGGAAGAAGACAGAACGTTCAAACATTCATAGCAATGGACCTCAGCACAGTTCTCCTCAGCTCTTACAAGCTACTAGCACCACTCACCCGTCTCCACGTTACCATCAACATGACCACAGCCAGGGTTTAGTGCTGACCCCGGAGCAACGATGATAAGTCAGGTCATGTCATTGTCAGTCATGTATAATGCATTTCCTCTCACTTTACGTTACGACTGAGCACCCGTACAGTAGCCTCGCTTCAGTAGGTCGACTACAACTTCTTACTGTGACGTAACTCCAAAACTGTTTTGCTGTATTATCTATCGTCCTTTTTTAAATGTTATCAAATGTTTTAAATCTCAAACATTTTATTCTTCTGATATGTTTTTGTTTGAAAGCTTTCTTGCCTCATCTAGTATTCGATCAGTCAAGGCAAGAGTAGATACAGCTAAACCAACAGAGTCAGATTTTCTACTTCTATAGCGACTACTTTGTCCTTTTTTTCGGTAGAAAGGCATCTTGAACTGGCCTCATCAAATTACAACTACTGAAGAGCAGGAGGACCGTGTTGTGTTTGTGCAATTCAGTATTACAGTATACAGTAGATAGCTGTGTTAATTAAAGCTGCAAACTGGTACAGTATTCTATAATGAAATACTAAAACAAATGTGGTGGATTAGGTCGTATGATATTTGCTTCCAAAATGTAGTGGAGTAGGAGTAAAAATGTTTCATTCTCTAAAAATGTACTCCACTACTCCAAAATTGTTCTTAAGTACACTACTAATTGTGGGGGAAAACTTCTGTGTAGCAATGCAGTGGGAGTCACCGACTCAGGAAAGAGACACGGTGAGAGTTGGAGCTTTGATGTCAAACACTGATGGGTTTATTCAGAGTATTCGGCCGGAGGATTCACATCACAAATCACGAGTCAGAGGGTCTGACTTCACGGGAGAGTTGCCACGTCAATTCTGAAGAGCCTCTCTCTATGCTAGACCTTTTAACTGGTTCACAGAGAGTAATCAACATATCTGAGGAAGTAGACTAAACAGCTGGGAACACTGAATCACCTGCGTCCGACACTCATGGCCTCAAAGATTTCACACCTTAGAGTCCACAAACACCGATAAAGAAGTGCCTCAGCGTTCTCACAACAAGTACCATTCGTGCCAGACAAGTTGACCGGTCACAAACTGGTGACAACAACACATATGGCACCAAGGCCTTTCCTTAAAGGAGATAACAGACGTCAGAGTAGATCATAAAACGTCACAGAGCAAAAGGTTAGATATCTGGAAGAATTATTCCTTAACACTTATGTTCTACTTCTAAAGTTGAACATTAGCACATAAGTGTTGGTTTTTCATTTTAATAATTTGAGAAAAAATGTGTTAAAAGAAGGCAAAATAAATCAGATGAAATGGCTGTTAAGCTTCTTATTTAATTATTAGTATTCATAAAGTACAATCAATATTCCCATTAATGATAAGCTAACCAATTATTTTACCCTAATGTTAATCCCATTCATTAATGTAGAAATATGTACTTTTAAAAAATTAAATATTTGCACACTCCATGCAAATAATTAGTAGTTAAATATTTGTATAATCAAGCAATCTCATTATCTATAATTAAGAAGATTAATTTCAACGACATCACCAACTATCTGTGTAAAATAACTTACAACAAACATTAACGTGGTGATGTCTGTGGGCAATGTATTTCTGTCATTGTAATGAATCCACTTCTGGTCAATGAACATGCACATAATTAGTGAACACTGAGAGACGGCATTTGTTGTCTTGCTCTGTTAAAGATAACACACACACACAATCATAACAACAAAAAATATAAAAGACAGTTCAAAACAAAAAACTGAATCTTTAAGCATTGTGTCAGATATATATGAAAACACGCTTTAATTTGAACCTAGGTGCCTTACAGAATATATATTTTTAAATGCTGATTTTGGATGGACATTAAACTCACCATTATCTCCTGATTTCATCCTGAACTCTCTGCCGAAGTTGGCTCTTCATGGCTATTTTTCAAATCACCAGAACCCTGTTTAGGGTCTTTGACAGAAAACAACCGTAAATTAATAAAGAAACAATAACTCTGCTGTTATGGAAAAACTGACACTAAATGATCCTCTCTTGAATTTACCTGATTATCACTGAAAAAGCAAACACGAATGTGCTGAATGGACGTTCAGTTCCTGCGTTTATGTCTTGTTTATCGAGTCTATTTAATGAAAAGTTAATGAGTCCTGACTGTAGTTCCTGATTTAGTTCCGGGGTTTAGTTCCTGAGGGAGATACAGCAGACTGTCTCCCAGACACACAGAGGCTCTGAGACGGAAACAGTGGAACAAACCAACAAAACCCAGCAGTGATTAAAGTGACGGCCCCGGATGTTTTGGTGCCCTCGGCAAAGTCTCGTACAGTGCGCCCGCTGTACAAATTAGGCTAGTCAGATATGCAATAGTGTGCACTTACATGTCCAAGACAAGCCTCCAGGAAGAGCTGACAATTCTCGGAGTGGCCAAACGTTGGAATTACAACTTCCTGTGCCAGTTACAGGATTCCATAGAGAGGCGAAGTCCCTCCCCTTCCGGTGGACCTCCATGGGACCTTATTTCGGAAAAATTATGTATTGAAGTCAATGGCGAGAGAAAAGTTATCTTTCGATCCCGTTTGAATTGTGCCACGAATTACACATATGATGTTTGTCAATTTAAAAGATAATTTTTGAAGTTAAAAAAAAAAGTTTAATAGCCAAATCCATAGTCACATTTCTGCTTGCTCTGGCTGAAGAAGATCGCTGGGTTTTTCTTGTTCTCAAAAGTTAAGGCATTTTGGCTTTAAGTGCCAGTGAACAACTTCCATAGGATTGAACAGGGCCTGCCTCCAATGCGGTGTCCTGTGTCTTTATACATCCATGGTCCTAGGATATGATTTCTGATTAATAATATATCCTTTTAAGTTGCTTGCCTGTATTTCCACAAGTGTCAATATCTGTGAATTAATAATTTGAGCGCCAGGTTCAGAGGAAATGAATACCACATTATAGGAATGGACAACAGCGTTACTGAATCCTGTACTGCGTTTTATCAATCTAGATTGTTTTGATTTGAGTTTCCGAGTGTTGGAGATGTTTTCCACAGAGATTTCTGCCTTCTCTCAAATATAATCGAACTAAATGGCACTCCACTTGGGTTGGGATGAAAAATACTTTTACATAGCAATGTCTCTTTCCAGAAGTCATGACCCAGCTACTTATAATCTACAGATTTTGTTTGGAGCAGTTTAATGAAATTAGAACTTACTTAAACTATTTTCTTTTTACTTTACTGATGGACAACAGACTTTTGACAGCCCCAGATGTGGATATTAATAATGTCCTTCGTCATTGCCATCTGGTTCCATTATACTTAAGATAAGACAGACATCTGTACGGAGGATATCTCTACCAATCTGCAAGTTCAACCAAAAAAAAAAATCTAAATTGATTACTAGCACTACATCTAACAGGGAGAGACATATTTCCAATGTTGGTGTCACTGTCCCTTTAAATGCTTAAAAAAAGAAACCAGCCATGTTACGTATTCAATGTTTTCCACTTTATTGGCTCTCAAAATGACCACAAACTAGCACTCAGTGGGTGTGTGGGTGTGGGGGGGGGAACGCAACACTAAACAGTGAGAAATGGAGGACAGCCTTTGATGTGCACTAACATAATCCGTGCTGATGGGTTGGAATGTCACACTTTGGCCACACACACTTTATCTCTCTCACACACACACAGACCCACTGGAACCCCCCCTTTCATTCATGTATTGCCTCTGCTTGATGTTGATTGGCTCTCTGACTTGCAGTTTGTTCATTATCAGGACAAATGAATCCAATTTCCTTGTTACTGTACGCGTTCATTTAGGTTTCATTCTAGCAACTAGTTGTCGTCTGATCACTGTAATTGATTTGAATTCACAGACTTCCCGTCATGAGTTTCCACCTCCTTTCTTCAACCTTTTTTATTTGAAGTGTGTTCAACCCGCTTTACAGAAAAAAACGCTTTAAAGGACCTTTATGTTTTGTGCGTTTCATGGTTCTGTGGTTGTTTACTGTCTATCTGCAAAGAGACAACAAATGCAAATTAGATGCACACTAACTCTGTTGCAGTAACTTTTAATTGTGCTTTGTCCCTGAAACAATAAGCAGTAAAAAATATATAAAATACATACATAAACATGACTGTCATTAGATGTACTGAGTTTGGGATTCAGAACTGTCCAGCAGGTGTATTTGTTGGGTACATTAGGTTGTCAATTGTTTTATATTATTTGTCTTTTCTTTGCAAAAATGGATAAAAGTGGTAATGGGAGTATTAAAAGCTTGAATTTAAAAGGTTGAATAAAAGTGTTTGTTTCTGTTTTTTTCCGGTAATGCCCTGGATAAAATACTGTTCTTTCTACATCAGAGTCAAAAAACCTCAGAGCAGACGGTATCTCAAAGGAGCAGCATGGCAATAATCAGTTTATATCTTAACGAGCTCAGTGATTCAGCGGACTCCTTTAATAATCTGCAATGAGAAACTCTCCTCTAATTGGCTGTAATTGGCCTCTGCGCTATTAATTAGTAAAAACCAAACTGATCTGTCTGCTGGTGATGATGTTGGGACTGTTTCCTGTCTGGATCTGGTTTATAAAACCTTGTCTTTCTGTTTCCTCTGCAGCGTCAAGAACGATGTTTACTCCCTTGTTTCCGTGGTAACCCGAGAGGAGCATGCACGACCGGGTCAGGAGTTAACCTCAACGTTCATCTCCACCTGCCTCCTGTGAAAACTACACTACCCACAATACCTGGGAACTGACGACCCAGTCTGACATTTAGAACACTTTAAAAAAAGACACTCAAAAGGGACAAAACTACAAAAAAACACAAACGCTGCTGTGAAGAGGACCAATATGGCCAACAACACGGCGGAGCACCCTCCGGGGAATTCGGTTGCAGAGGGCAACCATGACGGGGACTTTGGGGTGACGGTGATGGACCTGAGGGAGCTGATGGAGCTGCGGAGCGCCGAGGGCGTCAGCAAGATCCAGGACACGCATGGAGACGTGCAGGGCCTCTGCCGCCGTCTGAAGACATCCGCCATCGAAGGTGAGACGCATGAAACACACCATACCCACACTCCACATCACCAGGAAACATTTCCTAGATTCTACTTCGATTTAGTTTTAGTCACAACATAAAGATCAAACGTTTTGATAAAACTCACACTCGTTTTAGTCCACTCCCAAGGCTTGGAAATCACTGTTTTGATTCATACTTAATTTAATCAAGATATTTATTGATAGTAAAGTCAATGATTTGAATCGTCAATAGGAGAGCTGCCAATTTGAATCTCATGCCATTGAATCACGGTTGTCACGTTGATTTGTCAACAGAGCAAAGAAAGTCCTTCGTCCTTGTACAGAGATTAACATACGATAATGGCATGACAAACTCTTCTGTCTCAACACACCCCTAAACTATTTTACAATCAATGATCTTTTACAAAGATCTGTATTTCTACACTGTGTTGTTGCTTATTTTACTTAAATACCAAAGTATGAATTAGCAATGTGTTTGTTTAATATAGTTCGTATTAATCCTAATCTGCAAAGTAATTAGTTTCTGAAGCTGTCAGATAAATATAGTGAAGTAAAATTATGAATTATACTGTGATGGAAGTATAAAATTCTATACATGTGAATATTCGAGTAAAGTATAAGTACATCAAAAATGTACTAAGGTATAGTACAGGAAATGCATTTTGTGTGTATTACTTTAAGAGAAGATAAGATTTACTTTATTGATCCCAATTTGTGATTTATTTTTCCTTTCCTACATTTAAAGCTAGGCAAGTTTATTTAAAGCACATTTTAACAACAAGGCAAGCTGTTCAATGTTTGAATAGTTGTGTGATTTAATAAATAGCATTGACATTCAAAAAACACACACACACATTTTAGGAGCTGACAGTGTGTGCCATTAAACAATGATAATATTACAAACAAACACACAATGCATGAGCACACTCTGCATTTGTGTTGATTGATGATCAGCTTGGATTTCAGTCAGAGCTTCATGTGACGCCAGAAAATGGCTGACACGCCATGGCTGACACACACACGTGTGTGTGTGTGTGTGTGTGTGTGTGTGTGTGTGTGTGTGTGTGTGTGTGTGTGTGTGTGTGTGTGTGTGCGTGTGTGCGTGTGTGCGTGTGTGCGTGTGCGTGTGCGTGTGCGTGCATGCGCATCCATGGGTCCATTCCAGGATTGAAATTAGTTCCAGCCCGTTCCCCTAATGGCTCCATAGATCATTGCTCTGTTTCATTTGGTAATCAGAGGACAGCTGTAGTCGCGTCCTCCACGCAAGAAATTACTCACTTTAATGAAGAAACTGTAATTATATTTTCACACCGCAGAGAGGAAGAGGAGGGGGGAGGAAAGAGGGGGGAACAAGGGGAAACCTAAATGTAATGTTGAGGGCAAACACCATGATTGTCTGTTACTGTTAACTGAGGTGATACAGGATAAATGTTTTAATCCACCTGCTGTCTTTTTGTATCCATACGTCATAAGAATAATTTTCAGTTATTTTGTTAAAGGGGCTTTATTTAGCTTTTTTTTAGTTTTCCCTTTCCTGTAGTGTGTTATATAGGTTTCTGTGCATGTAAAGCATCCTGGCCACATTAGACCAGGTCTTGATCCAAAACCACTATAGCTAGACTCATCAAATCTGGACTGGATTATCCCAGAGAGGCTAAACATTCTTTATAACACAGTTTTAGATTTGTGAAACCTTAATTCTATTTGTGAAAATACAAAAAAGAGAGATTTCAGTGCTTTTTTGACTGCTGCTCCAGGTGAGGCTGCAGCAGCTCTGTGCCCTGATGTGAGCTACATCATCTGTCTTTTGGAGTATGTGGTGTTCTAAGGCTCTGTGCCTGTTAGCATGTTAGCTTAGCTCCTGCTGGGTGACAGACCCTGCAGTTTGTGATGGAGTCTTACCGCTGATGCACTGGCAGAAAGAACATAATTGCGAGGCCTGGTCTCCTGAAAAGCAGGTGCAGCCTACAAACAAGAGCAGGGAGGTGGAGACACATGTTGACCTGGTCTAATGTGGTCTAGATGTAAAAAAAGCACTGAAATCTCTCTTTTTTTATTTTCACAAATAGAATTAAGGTTTCACAAATCTAAAACTGTGTTATAAAGAATGTTTAGCCTCTCTGGGATAATCCAGTCCAGATTTGATGAGTCTAGCTATAGTGGTTTTGGATCAGGACCTGGTCTAATGTGGCCAGGATGCTAAAAAGCACTGAAATCTCCCTTTTTTGTATTTTCACAAATAGAATTAAGGTTTCACAAATCTAAAACTGTGTTATAAAGAATGTTTAGCCTCTCTGGGATAATCCAGTCCAAATTTGATGAGTCTAGCTATAGTGGTTTTGGATCAGGACCTGGTCTAATGTGGTCTAGATGTAAAAAAAGCACTGAAATCTCTCTTTTTTTATTTTCACAAATAGAATTAAGGTTTCACAAATCTAAAACTGTGTTATAAAGAATGTTTAGCCTCTCTGGGATAATCCAGTCCAAATAAATCGGCTATGCAGCGATTTAAGAGGTTCAAACACGGAGGATTGTTCGCTCAGTGCTGTAAATTAAATTTCCCTTAACTTTCCCCTTAACTGCCGAATCGGAAGCTCTGAATCGGAAGCCAACTTCAGCGTCGTGTATTCTCCGCTAGAGAGCTTCACCTCAGCCATTTCGAATGTGGCGCGCTCAGCAGCAGATTGATGCGCTGCAGAGGTTATGATTATGCGCGGTCCCGCGGGGAAGAGGTCTGAAGAATCTTTAAACATTAAATTAAATTATTATTATTTAAATATATTTATTATGCAACACCCGCGACCCGACCCGCATCTTCTTTGTTTTACCCAGAACCGAACCCGGAATTTTTTTTTTGAAAAAATACCACCCGCGAATCACTTTTTTTGCGGGTCACCCGTCGGGTACCCGACCCGATGCAGGACTCTGATCCCCGCATCATCCACCTGTGCGCATCCAAGATGCAGACTCATCGTTCCCACTAAAGTAGGGGTGAGTGTAATAAGGAGGCAAAGTCGACGTTCAGTGTGTTGCCGGGAGCATATAAGGATTTATCCACAATGTTGAAAATGAAAAAAAAAAATGTTAAACATAAAGATAAAAAGGTTTAAAAAAGTTATTGTTTAATGTTTTAAGGAGGTGACGCTACTCAGCCAATCAAATCGGTGCAGTCAGTGAGTAATTTCAAATGGCGTGCTCAAAAAAGAGAAAGGTAGACAGCGAAAACAGAGCATTAATTAATTAATGACATGTTCTCTGGACCTCTTTGAAATGCAATTGAATACCCCTGCATTATAGCAACAACAACAATAATAATAATAATAGCAATAATAATTGGGAGGGGGGGCGCAGCTGTACTTATGTTCTCTGAGGGGAGGCTCACCTTCCCACACTTTGAAAACCCCAGAGTTCACGTAAAAACTGAATTCAAAAAGACAAAATCATTGAAGCACCCATATAATAATTCACAGAGCTAGAGAAAGGAAATGGAAATTCCTGGAGGGTTAGTTTCTTCCTCCACAGTGACTGAAGTCCTTCCAACCTTTGTTTTCACTATAGAACTAACCCTGACTTGTTAATTGACTTTGACGTGTGAAATCACAGGAATGGGCCCTTTAAATCTATATTTAGGTTTCTGTGTCATGCCCTATGGTTGTTCCAGTGTAAGAACTGATTTTCAGTTTAGTTTTAATGTGTCGTAGATTATCACACTGTGTCCGCTTTAATTAATTGCATCTCCAGGGTAATTGTTACAGTCTTTGATTCACTTTGTGGCACTGAGTGGAGAGCAGGATGTCAGCAGTGGGATGCTGTGGCTCGTATCGTTACAATCTTTTTATCACAGTATATGTACCGCAAGATTGCTTTTAATTGTACTACAGACAGATATATACACCCAAAGGCCAATATTATCACACAGCTTTAGCTTTTCATACATCCCTATCACTGTATATATCGGGCCAGATTGTAGTTCTGATTTGACAGAACAATCTTAAGCCAATATTTATCAGATTTTAGATTACTTTATTGTTCATTAGATTTGCATAAAATGGAAATGTCTCTCTGTTCCAGTAATACAATACAATACATAACAGTTGTGCCTTACTTTACTTAAACTGAGTGACCAAGTGGTAGTCGTAAGAGTGCTCAGTGGTTTGTTCTTCCACTGGCAGTCAGTCCAGCCCAACAACATTACCCCGCAGTATTTAACAATGAACTACAAACTAAATAAAACATACATGAATAAACAAATGAATAAATGAATCGATAAATATAAATTAAAATTAGCTATGGAGTTGGTTGTGTAATGACCTAGAAAAACAGCCATGATGTTGGGTGGGGTTGGGTCGGGGCTTATGGGAAAGATTTGAGATGAAAGGGTGTGTTTAAGTGTGGTCAGAGAGTAGATGGGAAAATGTAAACGGCTTCTAACAGATGATGGTCACAGCAAAACCACTTACTGAGGTGTTTTTGTCGAGCTTCCAATAGTTTTTACCAGTCTTTAGCTCAGTGGTCCTCCAGATTGGCCTCAAGACTTTCAAACAAAGCACCATCAAGACCGCTTGTCCATGTTGGATAAAAGGTAACAGCTACAGAGCTCGCATGTGATCATCAGAGATCAGAATACTTCGAGTATCCCCTATCGAAATTGGGTGATACAGTTAAAAGATTTTAAAATCAAACATGTAAGGTGACAATTTGTGTTGAAAAGTGGAGTGGACATATGAAACACATAAGGGATTTTTAGTGAGTGAAATCCGGGTCAGTGTGGTGGGTTGGTAAAATATGGCGCATTGAAAGTGCATAGCCTAGAAAACAAAATACGTAAATATTCAAAACACACAATGTTTGCCACACAGTTAACAGTAACCCATATTCATCAATCATAATAGAAGAAACTGTGTCAATAATTTGACACAAGCTTGTTTTTTGGGTTATTTTAGAACCTGCTTATGTACTTGTTTGGACAATGCACATGTTTTTGTATCTATATTATTAATGCATTGA